CTCCTCTCCTGAAAAGTAGGAGAGAAGATGATCAAACCTTGTTTAATTTTAAAAACCTGAGCACTTGGGAGCTATGAAAGAAACTGCATGTGCTGTTAATTTAGCAGTGGCAAATGCTGTCCATGCTAGAATATAAATGAAGTTCATGCAGGTGCATGTGTAGTTGTGATGACTTACAAGACTCCAAGTTAAGTTTGTGGGCTGCTTTTCCACTTCTCTGTATGGCTGCATAGCAAGTAAATGAGGGATTTTGGTCAGAAACAGTGTCTTCAGATCTTTTCAGTTGAACTCTTATCAAGGATTTTGCCAATCACATACTTTGTTAAAGATTTATTGGGCTGGAAGGAGAATCCGCTAACAAGAATCTGGTTTGTTCTCTGCATACTTTTTGTGTCTGAGGCAGGATGGAACCGCTCATTAAGCATTGCAAGCTTAATACAGTGGGCCATTTTTCTAAAGATTACTCTTCTACGSTCCAAATGATTACAAAATATTCAGTTGCATGTTGCAGTGTCCAAGTTGTGTATTTTGTGATCAAAGGTCATCAATGTCACAATTGCACAGAGCGTATAAAAGAGAAATATAAGCAAGCGTATATTTTTCTTCATGAAGGGGCTATTTTTAAGACTAAAAATAATTAAATGGCAAAACATCAGTTATATCAGGATAACCCATCATTCTCTCTTCCTATGTTTCATTCTCCCCTATTGCTTTCCCTCCCTTGCCACCTGTTTTAAAGTTACTTTTTGACTTGTGGCTTTTTGGTATGAATTTGTTGTGAAGTAATGTTGGTGAATTTTTTTTTTTCTAAGAAACAAAAGCAGTTGTAGTTTTTTCTGCCATGTCACTTCCATTAGCTGCTGTTGTTCTGAGTTTTGCAGAGAAAACATCAGAGGAATTTTAAAAAGTCTGTTCTATTAAATCTGAGTTACCATGGGCCTTTTGTTTGTTKGGCCCAAGATTATCACAAAGATTCATAACTTGGAGGAATTGTTGCCAATTTTTTATTTGGGTTATTCTTTCTTTAGTAGAGAGAGATTGAAGTAGGGGTAGTGCCTGATCTTGCTTTTCCTCCAGACAGTCAGATATATTATAGTATGTTGGGAGGGAAAGTTCTATTCATGAAATAATCTTATAGTGATTTCTCTGTTGTTTTTCATGGCTAATAGAAAACAAATAATAAAAATTTCCTAGCTTCCTGACTGTAATGTTTTTATAAATGTCTGTATCTACGTGTGTTGGAAAAGGATTTGTCTCGATGCTCAGTTCTTTTCTTTAAAGATTCATATTAAWCCTAAAAGTGTTTACTCAGATGTGAGGAATTACAAGTGGATGAAATGACGTTGTCAGATTGACTCATCGTCCTGCTGTGCTGCCACAATTGGGAACATGGACTTTCATCTCTGCAGAGACAGCTCCCTTGAAGACCTGATATCTGCCTTGTTAGAGGTCTAGAGGGTTTTCGTAGTTGGACTTTGAGATGATGATCAAGGGTGAAGAAAACAAAAGGACTGGGGTGTGGGACATCTGGAAGGGAAGGAAGAGCAATACCTGTCTCTCTGACTTAGTCATTACAAGTYGTGCCAAAAGAGGTGTGCAGGGTCACTAAGCAAGATGAGGAGAGTGGGGAATGTTTTAGGATATATCAGCTGGCAAACAGTTTGAAATCCCCTGATGCCATATAAAGCATTATCCCAACAGCTGGAGCAYGTGGCAGTGAAGGATTATCTGGTGTGGCTGTACATCTTAAACAGTCACTGCACTTCATTCACTGCCCTTCATTCTCTAAGGCTTAATGTCTTTTATAATTGGTGGAGAGAATGCTGCTTGGTGGCTGGAACATGTTGCATCCTGGTGTCTCCCATCATTCTGTGYAAAAGGGGAAAAGTAATTGCATCTCTGTAAAGCTTTTTCTAGTTCTGTGGTTGCTARTAAGACTGTGATTATTAGAAGTAGGTTTTATTTTGTAGCCTTCTAAACCACTTTAATCATAGCAAGAAGAGACTTCAGATGTGGAGGAGTTTATACTGAAAGCCTCTAGGACAGCAGTGTCTTTTTCTGAACATTTTTGCATAATTCTGTGAGAGTTTTCACAGCAGAATGAAAAGGAAAATAGTTCCTTGCTCAGCATTTTGCTAAATGCTGTTCATTCCCAATAACTCAAATAGCCTAAATACCATGAGGGCTTCTTACTAACCTATAACTATGTAAATGCCTTTCTTGCCACAGGGGTAGCTTCTCCCAGTAAAAAGCCAAAAAAATGCACACTGCAGAATGCACACCACATATATTGCCAACAAAATGCTGCTGCAACCTTCCTGTGAAAATGAAGCATTATTTACAAGGCGGCCTTGCTTTGRGGAAAACTTTCAGTGGAAGCTGGTTGCTGTGAAAGGAAGATTTGGTGTGATGGTACTGTTTGATTGAGTTCCAGTGCTCTGTTGTGCCTTYGAGTGCACAGGATCTACAGAGTACGTGTGATAAAAGTCAGTTTTCTAGTAAATGCTGCGTTACTTTSAGCTTTATGGAACTCTGGAAATGGTTTAAATAGGCTGTGGGCATGGGGAGGGGATGGTCTCTCTCACAGACTTTGGCATTTCTAGTTCTGATAACATGAGGGTCAGTTATGTCTGGATACCATTTAGGGTTATCCTGCCTTTAGAGTAGSAGTTTGGTGTGCCTGCCATTTAATAGTTACTGGGTTTAGATAAGGTAGGAGAGGTTTCTGTCTTTGAGTCCTGAAGAAATAAAAATAAGACTGAATCAGGTCCTAAAGCTGAAGATCTTGCCTTAAATTCCCAGTGAGATTCTAAAKTAAGGTTGACTTGACAGTAACACGGCATTGCAGGGTTGGGGGAGGAAGAGGGGTGTCTTATCTGCTCTTTGCAGGCAAGAGCTTGTTTTTATCTGACCTGGTGACTTTTAACAGAGATTAAGGAAAACAGCATGTATGTTTCAATGAGCTTAAGCACATTCTCTAGGTAAGAAGTGTTCAGGAAATCCATCGTGGGGCCCAGTGTAATGCCACTGTTTCGCTGTGTGGAGTCAATCTGGTAAATCCATGGCCCAAGCTCAGAAGGGACCTCCTGATCGTGGTGTTTTACTGCTTGCACAGAACGGGATGAGGAATTTCCTACCCATGCTTAAATTTATTAAGGCACAGAGGTTGTTATATTGTTTTACACTTCTGAATTTAAGCTTTCCCCTTGCAACTTTAATTCAAATGAATGTAAATGCATCCTATAAAATGATTTCATTGTTGGGGAGAAGGGTGCTTGTATGCACTTGTGGCACCTGGAAAAGTGGTATGAGGAGGCTGGTGGGCTAGCACATCTTAACCGCTGCTTTCTAGCCCTGTTAAATGCCTACAAATTCTAAAAATAATGCTTATTTCCTCTGAAAGTGAAAGGTGCCTCTGCCCGTGGCAGGGGGGCTGGAACCAGATGGTCTCTAAGGTCCCTTCCAACTCAAACCATTGCRTGTTTYGATGTGTAAAGATTGTTAAGTGAGAAATTTTACAGTACTGATGGCAGAAGTGAGCTGTCACTCATTCAGCTTCTCACATTGTCAGCTTTGGTACTTGTAGACAGACAAACATTGGCACGAGCTCTTGTTTTGCAACAGAAACAGCCTCTGCCACCCTTTGGCCTGCTGTGAAAAGAACCTGCCTCGGCTCTCCAAGGTGCTGTAGCTCTTTTCCCTGGTGATTTCTGATATGGTTGCWGTTGTCAATAGGGAAATTGCTGGCAGATTGAGAACGTGTGGGCAAYGTCAGATGAACTGTTGCTGCAGAATACACACAAAAGATCCTGCTGATTTGGTTGTACTAGTTTACATTTAGTCTTGGTGTCTAAAAGTTATTACTTTGTTTTTGTTTTAATTGTAACAGARCAGCCAAAGAATCAACGGATTGCTGCCCTTTTGAGCAACAACAGTTAAGGCTAAGCTTATGTCACAAAAGASTGTCTGGGCTTTGTCATCCCTAAAGACAGCCAAAAGTTGTCTAAAGACAGACAAAAGTTGCACTTCTAGCCATGTTCCATTTCCACAGAGATSTCTGCAAACTGTGTTTAGCTTCTAAGGGTGCACTAGTCAAATTAGTGCAGATACATAACATTTTTTGTCTGACCATCTTTCTTTTCCCCTCGTCCTGAGGATGTTGTAGAAAAGAGGTTTTGCTTTACATCTTTGATCTGCAGTTCAGTTACAAAACTTTTTTTTGTTTGTTTCTTTTCCCCTCTGCCCTCCTGTCTCCCACATCTCATTCTCCAAACTGCCAGCTACATGTATTGCTTGTGTTCATCTGAAGTGGGAGGATTTCAAAGTACAGAAGCTTTGCCAAAGTTTTTTTGTGGCTTTAATTCAAGCTCACTTCTTCTATTTCTGTGGTTTACTTGGGGCTGCATAGTCATCTACATGGAGATGATGATCAGAGTGGAAAATACGGGCATTTCGTAATTGGCCTAGCAATTACTTCTCATGCTGTAGAAAAACCAGAAACATAAAAGTCCTGCTTATGCTCAAAATWTCTGGTTGTCAGAACTCTTTTGAAGAAGCTCCTTATTATATCCCTTTAGTAGTGAACTGATAACAAGTGGGTTTATTCCCKTGCACAACACTCTTCAAGAAAAAGCACTGTGTTTGTTCATATTTTTTTCCACTATTCATCTTYTGTTCCTCTCTAGTGGAATAGTTTTCTCATTCTCCAGTTACTACTGTTTTAGATGCAGGCTGAATGGATAACTGTATTTAAAGGTATTTAAATACAGAGGCTAAGTGTCTCTGGCAGAAGAGTTGATGCATCTCTGTTCTCATATCTGTGCTAGCTGAAGTTAAAAGTGAGACCATCCTTGCATTTCTGATGGGCTGTGTCGGGGCAAGATGGGGCTGTTGAAGAACTCTGGAATTCCAGAGTCTTCCCAAAGTTGCTTTTAATAGCACAGGATATTTTCACCCTTCACCTCTCTGCCTTACTCTTTTCCTTTTTCTTTGTATTGCAGGAGTGCCTCAATCCCTTCATCATCATGCAGCACGTCTCACAACCTGACACGGTGGGGAACTTCTAGTCCAGGGCTGACTCTTTGCTTTTAACTGAGTCCTTGGACTTGAGCACTCATCCACATTGCTGAGATTGTACCTTCAAGAGAAGAGATTGATGCTTGTACCTTCAAGAGAAGAGTTTTTCTGATGGTCGTGCTCCACTCCACCTGACCTATGAAAGGAGGGTTCACCATAGCTCCGTCCTTTGCGCTCCAGTTCCACAAGATGGGCTCATTCCGACGGCCTCGTCCYCGYTTCATGAGCTCCCCTGTGCTCAGYGATCTGCCTCGGTTCCAGGCAGCCMGGCAGGCCATGCAGCTCAGCTCCAACTCTGCCTGGAACAGGTGAGCAGGACCCTCCTGGGCTCAGCTCTTGTCCAGCAGGGGTTCTTCAGTGAGGGTCATGTGTGTCTTATGCTTGTGCTTCCCACCATGTATGACTAAGCTCGTCTGTTTATGAGCATGCATGAATTTTTGGCGTGCCCTGGCTTTKCTGGCATTGAAAACATCTGTGGAGTTGAAAAATTTAGAACTTCTAGTGTTGAGTTGATTTTGGCCAATGTTGTTTAGCCGTACTGTCTTGAAGTAAAGCAGAATGGCTTTTTGTTAACAGTTTCATCTTTTAAGTACCATTTAGGAAAACACATTCCCAGTACTGTTATAAATGCCAGTTTCTTCATTCAAAAAGTCATTTATTTGCATGTTTTGAAGCTTTTATCACAGTCAAGTTCCTCTGACAACTACTAAGCTTCTGGCTTCCTCCAGCATTTCCTATTGACAGCTAAATCCTGTCTGCTGTGCATGTCACACAGCAATGGCAACTGGAAAAACAGTGTGAGGGGTGAAGAGTGAGATGTCTTATGTCTTGATCTCCTCTAATGGTCTGCTGCTCCCAGAAATGGGTGTTTCTACTCTCCCTTCTGCCACCTGGCACCAGCTCTGTGCTCTGCAGACCCTGCTGACCCAGCTCAGTTTACCAATGTCACACAAAAGTAGCCTGGCAAGGGCATTGCAGTTTTGTGCCATGATAGTGAGCTGAGGTCTGTGAAACATGGAGATGCCATAACTGGCCCACAGAAGGGAATGTCTGTCAAGGGAATGTCATGTCCCCTTGTTAGCCTTGGCAAGCCTTTAGACCTGCTAAACCATCTTCTCTGCTGTCACTTTATGACTTCCTCTGTGSTGGTGAGAGAATTAGAAGATACTCCAACAGCATCTTACAAGCATTAACAGGGCTTAAACTCAGGTCTGACTGAGGTGATGCTGGCTGCAGAGCATCTTCCAGCACTGCCAAGGTCTTTCTAGATGCTGCAGCTTGGGTGGTTCCTGCTAGGATCACTGGATAATGCAGTGTGATGTATTTGGCAGATACTGCCAAAATTCTATGTCTCCTCATAGCAACGAGCCCGCAGCACACAGCAAAGCTCCCCTAAACAGTTGTTTTCAAGATATATCTGGCATGAGCAGTTTCCCTGTAACAATTTTCCCTTCCTTACTCTAGGCAGAACTCAAGGTTGGTTCTGCTCTGTCTCCCAGGAGAGATGTAGGTAAGTAAGAGTAATGATTTTAAGGTGAGGAAGAGTGCAAGCATTTAAAGGCAATTAACTCCACCAGGTTATAGCCACTCTGCTTCTGGTGTCTAGCTCATGGTGTGCTCTGTGGTACATCCCACCAGTAGCTGTTATTCATGGATGTTGTCCTGTCTCATTTCTTTTTTTGGCAGCGTTCAAACAGCAGTGATAAATGTGTTCAAAGGGGGAGGCTTGCAGAACAATGAACTTTACACCCTCAATGAAAATATCAGGTAGGTCACTGAAATGCATGAAAATGGATTTTTGTTGCTGCTTGTTTGGTGTCTGCTTGGGTCTGTTCCTCTTCAGAATCACAGCTAGAAGATATTGATGGGAGGAGAAGGGATGAAAGCAAACTTAAGCACAGCTTTGGGGTTTCTGAATGCCATGAATGATATGGGGTATTTGGATAATTTTTCTCCGAGTTGTGTGGATATGTAGCTTTGATAAGGACAGGTTGTATATTGACTTGGATTGTAAGGCTTTTGTTCCTTCCTTGGAACTGGTGCCTCTTTTGGATATGTTYTATACATGGTAATATTGGCATCGCTTTTCTAAGCCCAAATTTCTCAGAACTGTGGAGTGTTTAAAGCAGACCACAGCATTTCATTTAAAAGCTTAATCTTYACATGATAATTGCAGAGCAAAACCTGAAAATATGAACCCTGAAGATAAAAAACTGAAAAGCCTGGCTAACATTTTCTGTCACTCATACTAGTGATGACTAAAAGTATCATTTTCTGTTAAAAGCAGGTTTCATGATTATCTGTGGTTTTATTCTGATTGGCTGGAAAAAAATGATTAGCAATAGATAGAACTGTGGAGTAGATAAAGAATACTTTATTCTTGCCTTGGGTCCAAGTGTTGCTAAGGAGTGTTGTCAGGGTTTGTAGAAGTACGTTCCTCTTTTTACTACTGYATCCATATTAATTTGTCAAGAGTGCTGTCATACATGCCTCCACTTCTTTTATATCCCCTCCCCTCATTTCTGAGCTCTAAGATTGAAATGGCAATTTGAGTTAAGCATGTACTAAACAGCAGTCTAAACTACTCCCTTYCCTACTTTCAAAATAGATACAGCTATGAGGGCAGGAGACTCTGTCCAATTTGGTCTAGTCCCAAACCAGAAAAGTTTAATATTCCTTTTGAGAGTTGAGCAAGGGCAGCATCTTGTGTTTTAATGATATTTTAGTGTGTTCAGGTCAGAAGTCTTCAAGTTACATGTAAGTACTTGGAGCAGTCTTAATTCTCCGTGGGATGAGTATTTGTGGACACGAAAATAAAAACAGATGTCATAAGGCTTGGGAAATACCTTAAGCCCCAGCTTGTTAGCAGACTTGGGGAGTGGCTTTGGGCTTTGTGACTCGCCTGCCTGGCTGTTGCCCATGGCAATGGCTGCATCCTGCTTTTCCCCTGCAGTGCAAATAGGTGCTCCTTTCCACCCTTCCAGGGAGGCAGGACACTGGGCAAAATTGCTGTGGGGTCTGGCTTTGGCCCCAGTGGCTGGACCATGCTCTTTAGGTACTGAAGTGAATGCAGACTTGAGAACCAGGTGGAGAGCAGGAAATCCTTTATGAGCTGTGTATGCTTTGAGAGCAGTGCTGATGGTGGGAGGGGAAATGCCCTCTTCCACAGACATGCACTGCCAGKCTGTACTTGGAAGCACTCACCTTGAATTACATGATTAATGTTCCTGCAGGTGCCCTGAGCATTGGTTACATCTCCAAATGTCACTCTTTAAATAGACCATTTCACATCCAASTGGCTCATTAATGCCCATCTAAGGAGCAAAGGACAGGCCTCTGCATGTGTGTCTGTGTGAGCACCTGCAGCCCCACACCTGTGCTTCTTGGTGTAGCTCCCAGCACAGGGTGAGCTCTGTGTGCACAGGGTGAATCTCTAGCTTRACCCTGGACAAAAGCCAGATCTCAGACAGACACACAGCTCTTGTGTGCCATCAGGTCGAACTGGTGTGTTTTCCTTGCTCATCCTTCTCCACTGGGCTCCTGGGCTGTAGTTAGCAAATGCTGTGAGAGACTCTCAGGTTCTGCACAATGCTTGGTCCTTTGGCAGAGGGAAACACGGGRCAGTTTTAAAGGAGGATGGTAATGACAGGACTGGGAGATGGGCAGGTGGTAACATTTTGCTCTGGATTGCTGCCACCAAGTTTTTATCTTGCTGTGATTTGATACCATCTCAATGAATGGTTGTTTTGTTTGTTTTTTTTTTAACTGCTCTGAAAGTCAGTTGTCACAGCGATAGGAAATGTAAGAAATGCCTTTAGGAGATGGAATTTCTGGAAGCAGCAAGTGACCTGGTCATGCTTAGGAGACCTCCCTTGTTTTGTTTCTGAGGTGCAAGCCTCTGGTTGCTGATCTTACCTCCATGAAGTTCAACATTGGGGAGATATGCTATCTTCAGTGATATGAAGGGTGTCTTTGTTTAAACAAAAGAGCAGAAAAATTTATGGATTTTAATCTAAGTAACTTTAAATTGTCTCCCCAGCTTTCTGTTTATTCAAGGCAGTAATTTTTTTTGCTTTCTCTAGGTATATGGTTTCTAATTAGAAGACTTTAGAGAAACTGTTTAATTCCTTTATAATTTGAGAACAGTCCTTCTGGGTATTTGTAAAGTATACACCTAACTGCAAAAGAAATCTAATAGTGGCCAAAATGACCCATTCACATACATTCCTGTATCTTTGGTGTGACTGGTAGTAAAGTGCAGATACAGCTGTAAGAAATGACAGTAGTGGCTGCTACTTCATGGCTCCATTCCTTCTGTCTGCAGACGGCTGCTGAAGAGCGAACTTGGATCCTTCATCACAGATTACTTTCAGGTATTGCATGACTTTCTTGCTTTATTTTGAGGTTTGCCCTCTTCAGCTTTTTAGCCCATAACAAAATTAGGATCCCTTTTTACATGCAATCCCTTTTTACAAGTTTTGTTTTTGTTTTGTTATGGAAGATGATGGAGGTATTGGACATTTAAAATGTGGGCCGTATAGCCTTGTGAGTAATTTTTATTGATATATGTGCAGAATTAAGGATAATCTTCCTTTGCACTTAAGAGAGGCTGCTAGTAGCCTGCCAAGATCAAGGAGGAATTCACTTGAACTTTTGAACGAAGATGGGATACCTTTTCTTTAGTATAGAGAATTCAAAAGTAGGTTTTCTGCAATGGGGGCCAGCAAAGGGGAAGAGAAGAGATAGCGGCTGCCTGGAGGTAGGAGGGGGCAAAGGGAAGGAAGTTTCCATCAGCAGGAAATCAACCTGGGTGCTCTTTGCCTTTTAGTCCCCCAAGTGTCAATGCACTGGAAAAGGAAAATGTGAAGGATGAGGGAAGACTTACATAATCACAAACGTGAATAAATGTTGCTGCCTTTTACTGATACTGTGCAGGTGGACAGAGGTTCGCATGTAACCACATGAAAGCCTGCTGGATGGTTTTTAGAAGGCACTGATGGCTTTCAGTGTTTTAATTTGTTCAGTGTGGTGTTGATTAAAAAAGGAAAAAAGAGGGGCTGCTGGAAACAAGAGGGTTTTCTGCCCGTTGAGTAAGAAAGAGAGAGAGAAAAAAAATTTCTATACTTTCAGAAGCAGCTGATGTTGCTGTGTGCGTGCTGACTTAAAAGAGGAAAAAGAAGACCACTGTTGTTTCCTATCAGATTACATGATTTATTAGATTACATGACTTTAAAAAAATCCCCGTGCWGTGCTATCGAGTGAAAAGAAAACTCCTACCCCAGGGGTAGTTGTTTCACTTCCTCAGCCCCTCTGTGCACAAGCTGTTTACTGCACAGAGGCAGCTGCTGGCGTCGCAGGGCAGGACATTTCCTGGACCCTGAGTGGGGTGGCAGCCACCAGCACTCACATTTAATTTCTGGAGTATTTTTGCTCAGTGTCAAAAGCAATAACTTGGCACCTGTCAGACTTACCCTGAGGTAAAACTCTTGGTGCAGGCAAGTTGTGAGACAAACTGTGGGATAAAGGATATTGTCAGAAGTGAGATTTTTCCCTCTGAGCTAAGATGCAGACTGATTTCTGATTTTAAGCTAACAGCATATGGCCATGATAAAATTTACCACTCCCTTCTGAACGTCTTTACTCAAAATTCCTAGGTCCATGGTCTGGGGAAAGACTGTTCACGTGCCAAAGAAGAGCTGACAACATTATTTCATTTGTCTGTGGGTTCTGTTTCACTGCTGATGCTAGCTGATTTATGGTAGTACTGCTGCCACCAAGATGAGCAGAGTTGAATCAAGCTGCTGATTTGGCTGAAAAATAACCTTGAAAGAAAAAAAAAACAAAGTTTCCAACTACTTCCTTTGACGTGTTGTGGTCATCACCTCTGACATGGGGGAGGTGCTGGGAGTGGGTCACCAGGATGCAGAGTGGAGTGGAAGTGCATCTTTTGGCAGCGGTTTCCTCTGACATCTGTTAAAGCCCACTGAAAGCTGTCCCAGGAACCAAGTTTCCTATCCTCTTGCGTTGAAATGGACCCTGAAGAATATTCTCTCTGTGTAGCCAAGCAGTTTTAAATATTCTAGCAGCAATTAGAGCAACTAATTGGATCATGTAATATTTAGATGTGATAAACTGACTTGAACGTTTTCCATTTCTTATGCCATGGCACTTATAACAGTAATCACTAAGAGCATATTTAAAATCACAATTGTTTTAAGTTCAGGATTTTACATTATGTAAATTTTGTACACTCACACATGCACGTTTTTTATAACCATTGAATATGTAAGACTAAAATGGAACAGAGCGTTTATAGTGAGACAAAGSTACCTTTGTGATCAACTTGCCTTGATTACTCACAAGTCCTTTTCATCAGCACTCATGCAAATTAACAGTTTTTAGCTCCTGAAATTGCTGAAGGAATGTTTAGGATATGGTTGGAGTTTATACASGCTTTCTCTGCTACCAAGCCATCATCGTACCAGAGTTAATGAGTCTGTTTTGTCTTTGAAAGAGAAATATAATTCCTGTATGGGCTGCAGTGCAAACTCAGATGTTTCATTCTGAAGGAGAGTTTGTTTATAAATCTGCTGCTTTAGCAATCCTGCTGTATATACAACCCTTGGATTGAAGCCTGAGTGTAAATGCCAGATAGCTGGGGCTTGYAGTGTTTGCTGCAGATCTGCCTTAAACAGGGCTTCATGCTCCAGGTTTTTCACTCCTGACTTTGCCCATGAACTGATTTGAGAGTTTGCTGTTGCTGAAAAGGGTCACTTTGTACCCACCTCTGCTCAATAACCCTGCAGGACACCATTTGGTCTCACTGCCGGGTTAGTTTGCTGGTGGTCAGCTGAACTGCAATAAGTGGAAATCTTATGCTATGGAAGGTAGGAGGCTGGGATTTGGAGGAACAGGGTGTACTGGCAATTGGGACTTCTCTGTGTGCAGCTGTGTGATTTTTCAGATAAGCTCCCTTCATCTTCCTGCTGTCTGACCCTTGTGTTTGTGGAGAATATTTTTTACATTTAAAACTAGCAAGTGCTGATAAATTGATGCATTATCTGCCTGGTTCTGCAAACAGCCTGAAACAAAGTCTCTTGAAAGGATGAACTGTGTCTTTTCACTCTCTGTGGGTTTGTTCATCTTGAAACTTGTGGGGGGCAAAATGGAAATGCATTTATGCATATTAATCCCAACTGTCTCCTCCYAAGGCAGAGAGACCTGATCCCTTCCCAGGCACTGTAACCTCTCYCAGAACCCACAGGCTGCAAATGCAGAAAGTCAAACGCCCAGAGCTGATGCCTGATGTCCTCTCCCCACTCTGGCAGAGCTGGCAGGTGAGGGATGGCAGGTGGATTGTATGTCCTCACCTAATTCAACGAGATCTTTGATGTCTTAAAACCAGAAGTAAAACTGTTACATAATTTCCAGCCTGCTGCAGTGGGGAGYCCCTGAAGGTGTCAAGTCCTGACTCAGAATTAGACCCAGGTTTCTGTTTGTACACGAAGCTGCAGTGTGCAAGCTCACAMACTGCTGGGGTGTCAAGCAAAGTCCAAGCAGCAAGATGATAATAGATAGCTGAAAAGTAAGYGGTGTCAGTAATGAGGCAAGCCTGGATCCAAGCTAAAATTTATCCTCTCCCTTTAGAGCAGTCAGAAGTGGTACTGGTGAACCTTCCTGTGGTCAGAGTCCTTCTTGCTGTAGGGTCCCTGGCTGTGCTGGGTGGTGCAGTGATGGGGGGAAACATGCACTCCTCCCTCTCCTGTGGCACTGTAAAGCTATTGTTTATGTCCCCACTGTGTTTTTCTGGGGCTCCAGCCTGGAGAGATGACTCTAGCATCTCTTGTGATGCTTGCTTGCTCCTTTGAAAGGCTGCTTTGTAAAACCTAGCTAACAGCTGAAAAGGCCATGTGGCTGTTTAATCAAAGAGACAAATGTGGGGTGTGTGAGGCATCTTTCCTTGATGCCAGGTCTCTGTGTCTACCTGTTTCACAGCAAGGCAAAGAAATAGTTGTGTAGGCTGTTGGAGTGATGGTTACTGCTGGATACAGGCAGCACTAGCTCTTCTCTGGCCAAGTGTTGTCTTGTGCCTACTGCTGGGGCTGCAGCAGCTCAGCTGCTGCACAAGGAACAAAATTCACACTTGTGTGGTTTGCAGAGCTCAGCTGAGTGTCTGCATACCCTTTTGGGTCAAGCTGGTCTTTATCATTGTATTTGTCTCCTCACTGGCTGGGAACCTGTGTTGCTGCAGGTCTGCTCATTATTTCTGCTYCATCTGGCACTTTCTAGAGCAGCTTTCATGGAGCAGCTCCAGAGACTCCCTAGCAACTGCCCAGCTCTGTTAGCAAGGATGGGGTCACCCAGCAGCTCACCAACAGAGCAGGGACTCACCAAAGCAGAGTTGGGACCTGGCTGTGGGATTTTCCCAGAGCTGCTGCCTGCCTGCTTGTGGTCCCCATCACAGCAGTGTTCCCTGCTTGGTCTGCCTGATCTGCTCTCCTTCTTACTCTCCCTGGATCACTTTCATCTCTTTAAGTGGGCTTTCTTTTATCTATTGTGAGCAAAACGGTCTCTAGGAAGTGTCATTTTAGGATGTGATTTCATATTTATCGTGCAGTTTCTCCTCTATGTAGGATGGAAGTGATCTCTGCTTTTTTCAGTATTTCCCCTCTTGTTAGAGAAAAAAGAAAGGATGGGGGYGAGGGGTACTCTAGGTATGAGATGCTGCAGCTTGCACAAGTCTGTCTTTTGTAAAACATTGCCAAGAATTAGTAGGTGTTTGTGTGCAGCTGGCAATAAGTTCAGAGAAAACAGTTGCCAAGTAAGTTTGGGTGATTCTTTTTTCTCAAATTAACGTCAGATTATCCCCAAAGCATTGGCTATGTGCTTGTAGAGCCTGCAAGTGTGGTTTAGCACTAGAACACGAAGCCTCAGTTAGAAAAGGGGGCTGCATTTAAGAAACACTGTAGTGAACTGAAGAAAAACTGATTTTGTTCTCCCAGAAAAATGATGTCAATTCTTTTGACTATATTCTGTTTGAGTATATTCCATTTACTTCTGTTTCAAGCTTGTGTTCTTTGATGAACTAGTACTAATTTGTTCATAGGAAGGTAGCTTTGTTAATACGAAGAGGCATGCTGGCCATGTTTGGCTTGGACATATAAACAGAAAGCAAGATTTGTCCATAATTAAATGGTGTTTGTGTAAAACTCTTTCCCTCACAGATAATGCCTGATTTTTATTAGCAGGAGAATTCATTTGTACCTTGCTGTACTGCGACATGGCGTTCAGACAAGATGTGAAGTTCCATGTGATGGCTTGAGCCCCCTCAATGTTTTCTGTAGTCTTGCTGCCAAAGCTAGTTAGCTGTTTTTCACCAYCTCAAATGCTCAAATGTAGCACCCACAGGGGAGAGCAAGCTGTGCTGGTGGCAGGGCTGTCACCCCGAAATCYTTCCTGTTGATTGTGTCCAGAGGCTGTCACCACACCCATGCTGCTGACAGAGAACTTGTGACAAGCAGCATCTGATTTGCCTCAGGCAAAGTCAGCTAGGTACCATTTTGCCCAGGGTGTAGTGGGAAGGGCTCTGTGCCCACATTGGGAATGGCCAGCTCCTGACAAGGTGCAGGGAGGCTGGGAGAAGGTATTTGGCACTGCTGGTTCAAGAGAGGAGCTCCAGCTCTTGTGCCTGGGACAGCTTTCACCTTCTGGGAAGATGGTGAGACTGGAGTTGCTCCATGGGGTGGGAATGGGGAAACTTGCTTCAATTTCTCTAACAGAGAAGGGAAAGAAAGCATCTGTGCTGGAAAAAGGGAAGGAATTTCCAGGAAGGTATGTATGTTTTATAAGGTGGTGTGTGCCTGCCTTGAAAATTTTCTGTATTCCCAATAATTTGAGCATGATTTACTTTAAGGAGTAGCAAACACATGCATGTTGTGGGAGGACCTTGGCTGAGGAAAAAATGAAAAGTGATTATTTTAGCTTCGAATCCTGTCTTCAAAAACTTAGGGCATTTGAAAATTTACTTAAGAGCTTTCTCTTAGCTGCCCTTAGTGATGTATCTGAGACAGCTAGTTTAGTTTTCTGCACTGAAAAAAGAGGTCAGCTGGTGAGATTTCACAAGGTCACTTGTATCTGCTGCAAAACATCTCTTTCCAAATTTCCCAACTGGATGTGGGTGTATTAACGTGGGGTGTTAACTTGGGACTTTGTTTCTCTGCACAGCAGAGTAGCAAAGGGTAAGGGCAGTTTTGCACCCCCTACACTGAGCATATAGCAATCCGTGGTGTCCCAGCAGCAGGATGAGGAAATCACCCTGGGGAACCAGAAAAAGCTCATTTGAAGAGGGGAGGGAATAACTGCCCCCCAAGCTCCTGGTTCTGCTGTAACTGCAAACATATGGGAGGTGGCAGCCGAACTTTTTCAAATAAATGTACCCTTCAATCTTACTTGGTGTGAGTTTTTATCTGGTCTTGCTTCAAATAGAAGRTTTATTTTCCTCTTAGCTCTGTGCCTCTGGGTTGCCTCTGGCAAGCAGGGATGCAGCAGCAAAATGAGATTTGTAATCTAGRCAAGGTCTGATAGAGACCTCTGCTGCAGCTGCTTTGGGTACCTTGTATTGATTTGTCACTAGACCCTGTAGGGCTTGTTAATGACAATTTGTCCCCTGTGGCTCGCTCTGAGGGATTAATGTTTGGATTGGATCAATTTCTAARCTTGTGATTTCTTGCAGAAAAGATGGAGAAGTAACATTTCCTGATATTTTTAGGTGGGGAGAAGGGAAATGAAGTGTAGTTGATTTTATTTATTTTTTTTAAGTCCTTTCCACAGGAAAAGGGAAAATCTGAGAKAAAAATCTGCAGTAGCTATATGGACCTAATCTCTTTTTTAAGAAAAACTCTAGAGTGAGATTATGCTATCTCATTAGCGCAAGGAATTACTATAATACATTTATAGGAGCATTATAAATTCTTWACTACAGAGTAGTGATTAATATATCTGTTTTTAGTAGATACAGCTGTGCTGCCCATTAAAGTGTATAAATGTGTATTTTGGTTGCTGACATAACTGTAAAATAAAATAAAAAAATCCCTGGAAGTAGAAAATATCAATAAAACTAACTTTTAGGCCAAGTATCTGGAAAATTATATCCATGGTGCTCAGGAAGCGTATGTAAAATGAAATCTAATGTTCTAGTGCAGATAGAAAAGTAATTCATATTTCTTGAGAGAAACACAAGAAAATAAGCATCAAAACCTCGTATGTGTATATACCTTTTTATTATGAAGTAGTTTAAAATAACACAGTAWTAAAGACCAGCTATAAATTTCCCCTGCAGTACATGAGAAGTGATTGCCTTGAGCTACAGGTTAAAAAATAAAGAAATTAAGTATTTTTTTTAAATTAATAAACTGAAAGCATTTGGAAGGATTAAAGTGCCTTATCACTCTAGCATTATCTATTGTTCAAGCAGAAAAAATATTTATAGGGTAAGTAGTTTTCTTTTTTCCCCTTATGGTTTTTTTCATTACAGGTTTCTTCTTCCCTCCTTTTTCACACTGTTGGTTTTTTTCTGGGCAAGTTTTTGTTATTGTCCAGAGCATGATATGTGTAGTCATTTATTTCTGATGAACAAATCAAAAATTTGAATGGTCATCTCCAGAACTTAACATTTCCCTCCAAAGCCTGGATTTCTGCTACAGATTCTTCATAAAACAGTCGCCTTCTATTTGCTGCTAACATTTGGACATGTCGCATTTCGTTTTCATTGTGTGAACATATTTATCCAACTTGCTAATTCCTCTTGGCATTGCCCAGGTGAAGAGTATTTCCCAGCCAGGGAATGCCACAAAGCAATGTTTCTCCTTTTTATATCCTCCAATAGTACCCCAGCTTTGTGTAGCTTCTCTTTGAAGGGAGGGTGCAGAGGTGTGTGCTCTCTTGGCTTGGGGTGTTTACACAGTGTAAGTTTACTCAGTGTGATCTCTGTAGTATGGCTGTACCTTTTAGGATGCAGTAATAGTGTKTTATGTGGTGATTGCTGTGCCTTTCTCTGGGATTCCCAAAACTTTTCAGAGTAACTGATCCACCTAGTGCTTTGGGAGAACAGAAAGGTAGGTGTTGTTTTGGCACCTTTCTTATGTTTGGGGAAGTAGGAACAAAAAGCTAATCAGGTATTTAGATGTCCTGAACTGCAAACAAGCATATTGATAACTGSATCTGTCTGGTCCAGGAGAGTTTATCTAGAAAGACCAGGTGCTGCCGGTTCTTGATGCTGCATACTGAGATGATCAAACTGCTCAGTGCAAAAAATGGCCTTAGGGGAAGACAATAGGTATGAGTGGAGATGTTAGGGAGCTGAACTTGGCCTGCTGGGCAGTTAGGCAAGCAATGAGCAAGTGCAGAAAGTGTGACATTTTTGTAGCATTTGACTCTTTGATCACCTCCATCATGTCACTGAGGTATAGYTTATGGGGCTGCACTGCCATGGTAAGAATAATTTTATTTTCTTCATTCCCTCCCTGTTACCCTTCCCATTTGTGAGAGATGTTTCAACTGCTGTGTCTGTTGCATTCTCATGTCTTAGCTGAAAAAGAGGGGACTAAGGAATGTCTAGCACTGACTCACACTGAGACCAGTGCTGGAAGAAGTTCCTACAATGTGACTAATCTTAAGATAARTGCATGCAAAGTGGATAGCATCTGACAGAGATGTATTCTTACATGTTTATTATAAATAAAGAAAAGGCAAATGCGTATCTATCTTCTCTTGACAGAACCAGCTCCTTGCGAAAGGCTTGCTGTTTATGGAGGAGAAGGTCAAGCTGTGTGAAGGTAACTATAGCAGGAAACCTGTTTTGGAAGGGAGCTCTGCTTTGATCTTTGGTCAGACAAGATGATTTACATGTCTGGAAAGCATAAAGCCCTTTCWGGTGCTGCCTTAGGGTGTCACACARCCCCTCGGGGGCCCTTGTGAGGCTGAAGAGAGGGTGGGCTGTTTGGACAGCCACAGAGCCCCAGTGTTCCCATCAGCCATAACTGCATCACAAAAGCAGGAACGTGGGTCTTGTGTGAACCTGGGCTCAAAGCAGTTCTGGTCTGTTTGTTTTGATCCTGTTATGATCCTGTTGCAAAACTGCTTGGAACTGCTTTTTGCCTTTTATCTCTCAGTGTGATCTGGAGCTTGATGCAAATACATGCTTTTGAGAGCTATCAAGCTTTGTGTAAATTTAAAGAAAAAAACCATTCCTTTGGGTGAGAGTGAAATCCTTCAGGAAAGAAGTTGATGACATATTGTGTTCAAACTGCAGAGCCTGTGGACCAAGGTGAGTGTGTTGTGGCCWCTCAGTGTTGGCCATGTGGGAGCTGGTCACATTCAGTAACTGTTCAAGTGAAGCCAGCAYGTCTTTATTCAAAACCAAGCTGCTGTTTGGTTTGACCCAGTTTTGTAGCCTGCAGGGAAGATCTCTTGKTAATCAGCAGTGTGTTGTATATGGGTCATTAAATGCCAATAGATGCTTATAATGTCACGTCATTGCTGGTCCTGAACTCCTCYGCACCATTCTTCAGCAAGTGACTTCACCCGGCTGGCAGGCTGGAGGATTTGGACCCCAGAGGAGTTTAGGGGTTGCCAGCCTCCTGCTTGCTGTGTGCTGCTTTGGCAYTGGCCCTGTGAGGGTGGAAAAAAAGGCAGACCTCCTACATTTTCCTYAGGGTGGGTACCTGCCCTGCCACTGCCACATTCAGAATGAATGCTGCACAGCTCACCAGAGACTTTGGCTTCTGTACTCATATAAAACTATTGCACTATCTGCTTCAGCATTATGAAAATGGAGTTTGAGCCTGTAATAACCTGAGAGCTGCCCAAGWGTATTTTTAGATGCTCAGGTAGTGTAGGTCAGATGTAGTTTCTCAGGCAGATAGCAAAACCCTGTATGCCTCATTTTTCTGTCCCCAGTTTGGAGTGACACTGGAGCCACTTTGCTTGTGCAGGTTGGCATCGCTGCAGGAGATGACTCAYGGGCACCTCTCTTTCATAACGTGGGCTTGATGCAGGTCTTGTGGTCACAGCAATGAGGATTTCTTGTACATGCTTCTTGGTAAGCTCTGTCTTCCTGGAAAACTTACACTGCCCCAGCACTCAGACACAGAGTGCAGGGCACGGTAATGTTTTATCTGTGTCTRTTGCTCAATCACAGCCTCTTACTTTAACATTATTTTTCTTTATACTTTATACAATCTGTCAGAATCTCKTTGAATGCCTGCAGGAGTTATCATTTCTTGAAGAAACAAACCATTCCTGCTTCCCCTTCAGAAGGAGAAGTGATCTCTGACATTTCATTCTGTCTCCACGCAAGAAASCATTGCAGTCCTGGGGAGGAGGCAGAGGAGGGAAAAACTTAAACATGCAATTAGTCTGTTTCCTGTTGTCTTTTTCCCTTACACTTGGCTGTTTCTGGTAATGGGTAGCTGTTTGGGGGTGTTGGGTAGTTTTTTGTYTCCCTGCAGTTCCAGTTTTGAAGCCAGAGTCATACCTGACCCAGTGAAGCATCTCTTTGAACTTTTCTGTGGTTGTTGGTGAGCTGCCTCTCTGCTCATAGGGAAATGTCTGCAGGATCTTGTCCTGCTGGCTCTGCTCTCTGGCTTTGTTCTAAGCAGCATAACCCAGGGGCAAGCACAGTCAAAGTCTCCGTGGAGGTCTGCAGATGAGGAAAGCACTTCAGTACAKAGTGATAAGGCTCCTTTGAGTTACATTTTGTACATTTTCCAGTTCCTCATGTAGGACCTTTAGTGRCCTTGAGGCTGAGCCTTCAAACCTTTCTTGAGTGGCCGTCTTCCATTAGTGCTTTTTGAGTCTTGACTCCTGGTGAGCTCCAGCTGAGGCTCTGTGGGAGATATCCTAGAAAATTCTTTAGTCAGAAACTTGTGGTTTTAAACCTGAGTCTGTATTTGCACCTGAGATTTCCAGGGATGTATCTAAAACTTAAAATAAACRTTGTACTCCTCAGCATTTGGACCCAAAGCCTCTAAGGTTTTTAGGTAAAGGTTTGCACGCTTCTGTAAGTCAAACCTCTGAGCATAATTTGATCATGGTTGTCTTCCTCTTATGGGAATCCTGAWATGACTTAGTTTGCCTTCATTTTAAGTACCCAGTGACATTTGGGGATRTTTGTTCAAGTTGGAGTCATATGAGGGGTGGTCACAAGTAGATTTTGTTTGGGAGCTTTCACGAGTGCCACATTTTCATGAGTGGCTTTGTCAGGATTCCTGACAGGTGCCTGACTGCTGAGTGGATGCTGGAGGGGGCTCATCTTTTCCAAGTGCTCCCCCTGGCTCAGTTGCAGGATGATGTGGTTGATCACCTGGTGTTGGCTGTGCCCTGCTGGTTTTCAGATGCAGCTGTTTATGACTAGCTGTTGCTAGTCAACATGTTAACAGTGAGCTGTGATCTGCACCGTCCTCTGCCCTGAGCTTAAAGCCTCTGTCGAAAAGAGGCTTTGTTCTTTTGTAGGAATTGGTCTCATGTTTTGCACAGAACTGTCTTCTTTGCACTGACAGAGCAAGTTGGGGTYACAGCCTCGTGTCTCATCAGTTAAGGTGAAGCTTAGCTGGGTGATATCCAGTTTTGGGCAGAAACAGAGAAAGGCAAGTGTCTCTTATTTGGGGAATTAGGGAGTACTTGGAAAATCCAACTCGCTTTTAGTGCCCCTGTTGCTAAAGCTCTTGCTCCCAATCTCTGTTTCCATAGGTGAGGATCGCATTGATGTCCTGTCTGAAATCTGGGATCACTATTTTACAGAGACTCTTCCTACACTCCAGGCAATATTCTACCCAGTCCAGGTAATCTTAATTACACTTCAGTCAGGTGAAACAATGTAACTGCAATGCCTGATAACAGCAGGTGGAAACTGCTCTGCCAGCAGCATTGTTTGGCAARTGGCTAAATACATGTCAAAACCTTTTAACTAAATTTGGGAGGAAGTAGAGTTTATCCAAGTATTAACTGTAAGAAGGACTACTAAAATCTACTGGATGAGCATGGTGTTTTGGGGTGAATTTATTCCCAGTTGCCTACTCTCTGCTTAGCGAAGCTTGCACACTGAAACTGCTGGATTGTACCTTGTCTAGGCTGAAGCTCTGGGCTATTTGGATTTATAGTTCCTCTTTTAAAAGTAGCTGGAACTGTCAGTACAGATGGCAGCACCGATAACTTGTCTTAGAGGTATAAATCTGAAGACTAGATCAGGAGAAAATGTGTTTTAACTCAACCCTAATAACTTTTGAAGGGCTTATATTCCATTTGTGCCTTTGGGAAATCCTCAGTTGGGATTTTTAAGCTTTGAGTCTATGGRTAGAGGATGAATGAACACTTTACATAAGACCTTTTTACACTGGGTATTTTGAAAGCTGAGTATCCAATCAGAAGTGTTGAGCTGTACCATTTTTTAATGTAGTTTTAGTCAGGGTATCCATATGAGCAGTCTAATTACCTCCCATTACCTCCCCAGCCTATTTTGAACTTTTCTGCCATCAGAGGAAMAGAAAAATGTACCTCATGTGGAGAATGACGTTCTTGGAAATGCTAGCCTCCTCCCCYTGACTTTTGCCTCTTCCAGAAGACATTATTTCCAGAGCCTTTTAAAATTATTTTTCCCTTGTATTGTTTGAAAGGCAGCAGGTAAAGCTCAAAGCTTGCCCTTTCCCTCTAATCCTGTTAAAGCTGGCATTTCCTAAAAGAGAAGGGACTTTTGCAAAGAYAGACACTAACCTTTCTACTGTGTTTATTTTTGTTCTTTCCTTGCTGCAGATGCTTAAAGGTAGGTGTTTGACAGGTAAAACTGTGCAACTGTAATACCCTCTTTTTCTCTCCTTTTGCAACTAACTCTCAGTGAGGGAGTGACCCATTYAAGCAGGGGTTTGCCTGCACTGCTGCTCCCTGTGTACTGTGGAAGCTGTACACTGACTGTGTGCCATACCCCTTGATGTTAATAATTCTGCCACTTTGCAGGTAAATCTGTTCCCCTGCTATTAAATGTCTCTGATGAGAAATAGGACCGAAGTTACAGCACTGTGGGTATAAATTTTGGAAGTAACTTGGTTATAGTGGGGAAAGTGTGACTATTGGATATCAAAATTCTTTGAAAGCATAATTTTTCTGCTGTACATGTCTTGTCACAATATCTGAGTCACTCAAAATATATCATCAGCACTGGGAAGTTTGGGAAGTAATGCCTCTTTCTGGATGGGGAACTGAAAGGTAACAGACAGGATATTTAAAGCTTTGTAGGCACCTAAGTACTGCATGAACGTATGGAATTGAGTTGCCTAAATACATCCAAGAATTTGACTCAGAGACAACTGCTCTAGGCTACCAGAGAGAGAGCTGCTGGTGCAGCAAGAAATAGAAATTGCTCTTTTGCCAGGCCAGTGTCCTAATGACAAGACTTGGCTTTTCCTAGAAATAGGGAACTGTATGTACCCATGTATACAGTGTGTCRCCACATGTGAGGAGAGCTCCTCCAGTGAGTGCCTTCCATCAYGCTGCTGCTCTGGTAGATGAGAAAGTCAATTTGCTGTCGATTCCCCATCCTTTCCTGCAAGTATCAGCAGRATTTTTTAGTTATGCTCTTCTGTGATGCCAGCAGCTGCCCATTCCAAATGAAAGTGTCAGCCACATGTGTGAGAATGTGTTACCAAAGGTAGAAACTCGCACTAGCTTCGTATCTCAGCTGAGTTTAACCCCAGGGCTCATAGTTATTGCAGAAATATGACCTTTAAGCAGCCAAGTTGGTTAAATTGCTGTACAGAGGGAAACTATGTAAACAGGTCACTGGCTTTCATATAGTTGCAGCTGTTGATGTGACTATTGGTGTGGAAAAAAGAGTAGCAAATCTTGTTTTGCTTGGCACAGAAACATGTTTGCATTTTGAAATGGGGTATGAAGTTAATAGGACTAAACTGCATGGTATAAATAAAAAGTTTGCAGCTGCTGAAATATAGTTCCAAGRTAGGTACTGGTCTTTCCTACACTTTTTTCCCTACACAGTGAKGGTTTAAAACAGTAAACTGCTTTTACTATGTCCAAGCTTCCCTCCAAACTATTGGTTTTAATTCATATTYCATATTGATAATGCTGTTAATTTATGGACAATGTGTTATGAATTAATGATTAACTGCTGTTAATTTCTTCCAGATAAATATTTGCTATGTTGAGTGTGTTATGGAGATCATAAAATGATCCCCAAACAGATCATGGGGCAGAGATTARCATACTGAGAAGAACAAGACAAACTTTTCAGGCTGGAAAATGCTGGGCAGGGCTGGGAGGAAAATTTCTGCTATTAAGCTGGAGTGGGGCTAGAGAAAGTTGTGCAGACATTAAACATAGCAGAGGGAAAGGTGGTTACACCAGAATGCCAAATGGCGTTCGGCTGTGTTTAAATATTCTGAGAAATACTGTATCATCTGTTAAGCCTGCTCACTTGTGTTGTTGATGTAAAATAGTAGTGGAGAGGACATGGAATGCCTTGCAGAGGATATTAAAGCTGTCATTTTTAAAATAATGCTTGGTTCTAGCATGCTTGCTAGCTTTGCTCCAGCCCAAATCCTAAAATCTGTAATGGACTAACTCAAAGACTTTTGTCATATCAGCAAGGTCTAAAGTGAAGATATTGAGCAAAAAGAGAGTACAATATAGATCAGAGTTTACTTGAGAAATGTTCCATAACAACGTTATTCCCTACCAAACTTTCTCTCATTTCTCAGCTCCAAGTGCCAGAAGTACAAGCTACACCCAGTCTGGGCTTTTTTGTGACCAAATTGGATGGCAAGTGGGTTTTATGAATACGTACATAGTCATTTGCTGAACTACAGGCACATTTCGGGCTTCACTCCAAACACAGTGGTTCCACAGATGAGGTGATGCCCATTTCAGTTTGTGTGAGACTGAGAGGGAAGAAGTTAAAGAGTACCGTGAATTCTCGACCTGAATCACAGGGGGGGATGTTTTGCCCCAGCAGCAAAGGGCAGAATAGACCCTTCTGTCTGTGTTCATGTGTGTTGGTGCRATGATTACACATCCCCTAAATTCTRCTTCCTTTGTCTTTTTAGGGTCAGGAGTTGACTATCCGTCAGATTGCTCTTCTTGGCTTCAGAGACTTGGTCTTGCTAAAAGTAAAGTTGGAGGAAATTCTTCCCTATGTCCAGACAAAGCTTCCAGCTTCCATTGTCCAAATGCTGTTAATTCTGCAGGTAGGGAGCCTCTGCTCTTCCTTGTCTGACTCCATTTSGATATCTTGACCTTGTTGAACTCATACAAACACTGGAAGAAAAGTGGGAAGTATAGAGGGTGTGATGAAGGGGATGTGATTGTGTGCTTATTTGGGAGTGGTCAGTGTTAAAATGAGAGCTGAATTTTGATGTCCTSATCTTTCCTGGGTAAAGATGTKGCCTTGAAAGAACAGGGTGTTTCTRTTTTTCTCGGTGCCTCTCCTCCCCATCTAGGAATAGTCTCAAGGGTCTTTTTTCACATAGATTTCCATCTTCTAGCTTCTCTGAATGCCTCTTTGTGCCCTGGTTTCCCTGATTTTTCAGCTTTGCAAAGGCAGGGCAAATCTCCATCACAGCAGATAGTGGAATTTGAACAAACTGTGGCTTCCAGCTGCTCGACACCAGCTCCTTGGCTGGCTGGGATGCTGAGTARTGCCCATTAGAGGAGAAATACCTTCTGGCAGCAGGCAAAATGAGAGGCCATCTTTCAAAGGCCTCTCCCCAGAGATCCAGAGTGCCTGTGATAACTATTCTCTTTGTCCAGAACTCAGCAGAATACTTTCCAAGCATGCCAAATACAGCTGGGTTTTTTTTTTGTTTTTTTTTTTCTTTTGCTCAGCCTGACAGTCCTGAAAGATGCCATGTTATGCACTTGGGCTGATGGAGTCAGAATGGTTTGGGTTGGAAGGGATCCTAAAGATATCTAGCTCCAACCTCCTGCCATGGGCAGGGACACCTTCCACTAGACCAGGTTGCTCAGAGCCCCATCCAGCCTCCCTCTGAATCCCATAAAGGGCCTTTCATTCGACCTTGTTGATTATCACCAGGTTTGCACGGGCCCAGCTCTCAAGCCTGACAAAGTCCCTCTGGCTGGCATCCCTTCAMTCCAGCATGTCAGCTGCACCACACTGCCTGGTGGTTTTTATTCCTTCTCCAATATAATGAGTGTCTGAGAATGACACTTTGTGAAGCACAACCAAAATTGCAAAGTGTCAAAGCTGGTGATTCTGTATGAGTTCTCACTGTTCTGATTGTTCCCGTCACCCAGATTGGAACAGCAGGTGATACTAAAGTGCTACCCCAATACACCTGAAATATTATTTTAMTACAAGAATTTTGAGAGCAAGGAGGATCTCAAAGCAACACATTTGAGGAAAAAAGCTTCTTGAGGCTTTGCAGGAAGTTAAGTCTGAACCGTTTCTAGAATTGCTGTTAAATTGGTTGGTGTTATCTACCATCTTCACAGCTGTAAGCTGAACCACAGAGGGTGCTTTGCCTGCAGTCCTGCCTAGGAGAAGAGCAGTGCTGTGCCCAAGGCGTGTGAAGGGCTTTCTACAGAGCAGTGTTTTCTGGCAGAACGCCCTGGTGTGATTATACTGCTGCTGTACACCATGCACATCATTGGTGCAAGCACACCTTGTACCTGTCTCTTGGATAGGAAAAAGAGCTGTCTGCTCAATGTCCATGGGGCGTGACTCTGACTTGAACAAGGAGATTGACCTGAAAGGCACCCAAACCTCCATCAGCCCCAAAAGCTTTACTGATATGGTTGGGTACTGATACGTCCTGTTCCAGGACAGAGAGAACTGACAGACYCCAGGCTTTCCTCAAAAACATTTTAAGGGTAATGTTGATGTTTTATGTTTGATTTTCAGAGCGTTCATGAGCCTAGTGGCCCCACTGGGGGCTACCTGCAGCTGGAAGAGCTGGTCAAGCAGGTGGTATCACCATTCTTAGGTTTGTGTGAGGATCACAGCTCTTCTGGTAGCACCTGCTTGCTTGGTAAGATATGCACATTGTACTGAAGCTATTTTTGGGGTACACAGGTTGGGTAATGGGAGGCATTTGTGCTGGAAAAGGAAACAGTGCCTGACTGTGTGAGAGACAGAAAATAAAAGCTAAAACACCCTTGAGAAGGTCCTGATTAATGTTTCTGAATGTAGATTTTTGTGACAGACTTTTTCTTTTCCATGGCCTAGTGAACTAGGTGCCCCATCACTGCACACACMCCCACAAAGTTTCCCCTGTCTCTGGAGATGGACTGGATTTTAAAACCCCTGGTCCATGCCTGGTGTACTGCTGTCACTGCAGTAAGAGATTGTACCTGGTCCTTTGGTGCCTGCACTCTCTGCTTGTTTGCCTGCTTCAGCTGCTGCATCAACCAGAACAGCTTTCAAACAGAAAGCTGTTGCATATTAATTCTGAGGGATGACAGGAATTTTGCATGGAGACTTCCTTACATCTGAGGATTCTGTTAAAAAAAAACCCAACAATTAGAATTCTGTGTTTAAAGTATGGATAAATGTGTCTGGGTGAGAGAATGGGCACCTCACTTCAGGAAGAGCATGCTTATTCTGGGAAAGGTTTTTACACATGATCAGGAGCTCTGCTTACACATGTGGCCAGCCAGAAGGGATTGGCTAGCTAATGGGCATCGTGTTACTGATTTGATAGTCAAGAAGATTTAAATAGAACAAGTGAAGAAAGCTCCAGTCTCCCTCTGTTTTTATAAGCTGCAGCCTTTGCTTCAATCTAAAATTGTAGCAAGAGACTGACGACCTGCCTTGTACTACATTTTGGCAGCATTTGGGAAAAGATGGTCTTGTGRTAGAAGAATTTACCAGGACTCAGACAATCTGTGCCTGTAATAAACTCAAGGCATTGCTTTAGGAAAACTGCAGCTCATGATTTCTGTTCTTGTGGTTGCTGGGCAATCTGATATCTTTTATGCAAGTAAATGTGGTTGTACAGTTCAGCATGGATTTGCAGACCTGATCCACAGGCTCAGTCGAGACCAAAATCCCTTGTAAATGTTGGACTTTGGCAAATTTGATTGCTTTGCTGTTTATGGACAACTACATGCTGCTGGGATAGTCTGAAAGGTAGCTGCCTGACCTGTACTGAAGTTTCTAGCTATCCTGGATTTCTGCCAGCTGAACAAGGCATTTGTACCATTAAAAAAAAAAATCACACAAATTTGCCTTGTAAAGTTTATATGCCTGAAAATAATTTCATTTTCTTTAATTTTAGCTGTGATTTATTTGTGTGTATTCCCAAGGCAGCCTTTTGCCCCTGCTCCACCCTGTGCTGAGCATGAGGAAAGAAGGACCTTGTGTTTGCAGTATAGGACAGCAAAACAGCACTTTTCTGCAAATAATTTTGGTATTTTCAAAGTGCTGCTTCTACTTCTAATTAAACTTCTTTCTCTTCCTCTCTCTCTCTTTCAGTCACCTTTTTGCTGTCTCAGAACCAGTTTCTTCTCTCACTGGGCAGCCTGTATTGATGATGAAACCCAGCAGGTTCCCCATAGTAGTTTTTTGGAATTGCCCTGTTGGSTTTTGGGTGTGCTTGCATTCTCCACAGCCACTGTAGAAGCCAAACTGCTCTCTGGCCTGGAGTCTTCAGGATAAATGGGTTTGGTTGAGAAATGTGACTTAGGGTGTCTGATCCCAGCTATCAGTACACATAAGGCTTCAGCCTGCAAGGCTGCTGTATCTCATGTTGATTTAAAGTGAGAGAGGAGTGCAGCAGRGATAGGTGTGAAAGGGGATAGGACTGCTCACAGAGGGGAATTGCAGATGGCAGCATTGCCCCCTGCTCTGGTTTAGCACCCTTCTCGCTTTGCTTATGTAAATTAACCTTAACCTGCATTGTAAGGATGGGATATACCAAAGGGATCCAGCTGGCTCAGAAACGGGGTTTATACTGGGGATAGGAGAGAAGATAAAACATCCACACCTCACCGCTGATTTAAGATTGGTTGCAAAATAAAATCCTGGAAAAACTCCTCCCAGTTTATATTCTAGGTCATAAGGCACCAAAATAGAAATAAAATTTGTTGTTAAACTATGCATGACAGCTCCCTCAAGAGACTGTCTTTTGTGGCCAAGAAAGTAAAGGGGCAGAAGTAAAGCAATAAATGTGTGTTCAGAWGTCAGCCTAATTTCACCTAATTTTTTTTTTCAAAAGAGTCAGATCCCAGTGCCCTTTAACACTACACCTTGCTGTGGTTTGAGCTGTGGCTGAAACCTAAARAGTATATTTGCTGTAACCAGCTTCAAAAATGATTTTGCATAGTCTTAAGCACGAAATTAACCATTTTGAATTGATGTMTTACTGGCAGTAGCAGGATGAGGTGTTGGCTGCTCAACCATTCCCTCCTTCARTAATGTAGAGTTTGTTTTTTGCTTTTCTTCCTGATACAAACTTCCAAAACTCTTATAATTTTCAGTGACAGGTGTTTTGCTTTGSACTTTGTTACTCTTATGCTCTGCAGTCTTGGTTGGAAGCCTTTTATATGGTTTAAAGGCTCCTGACTTTATGAAATGAGACCCTGCACTTGAGTGAGGTTTGTGAGAATCAGAGACACACATGGAATAGCTCTGTCAGCTGCTGTAGGGACAAACATCATGTGGCAAAGCTTGTTGGGGGTGGCAGCCAGCAGGTGAGCAGTAATAGTGTCTGATTCAGCCTGCTGGGGGGGATTACAGTGAGCCAAGGCACAAAAATGGATGAAATGTTCTTTTTCTGGCATGATCTTTAAAGCATACGGTGGGATAATGCCAACAGAATGGCCTTTTTCTAGRCAGATGGAGAGACAGCACTGTGTAAGTGTCAGGAATTTCATTGACAATAGCTGATGGCATCTCCTGAGAGAATTTTTTCAGAGAAAGCAATGGCAATTCAAGTCCCCACTGAATGKTTTTTTTGGAGACTTGTGCCATTARTGTCACTCATTTTAGTGAACCTACGTGTGAGAGTACCTACTTGGTCTTCACCTCTTGATAAAAGAGAAGACCAGCAGGGTGCTAAAAGAGTCTCMCTTGGCTGCATTTGGAACTTCCTGGCTCACTTCTCTCCCAGGCAGCACACCATTGCCTTCCAGCAGGATGGGAGGTCTGTCCTCYCTGGGGCAGAGGCAGATCTCCTTTCCCAGCCTCCAGCAGTATGACCTAGTGAGCTCCTGATTGTTTTCCAGTGGTAATGAGGTGGGACACTCTGCCACTGCACACTGAATTCTCTCTGTTCCCTGTGGCCAGCCTAGCAGTGTGGCTTTGTTTGTGTGCTGTTGGCCATTCCTGCTCCCTTTTTCTCTTCCAGAGAGGCGGTACTCCAGATCCCGTCCCAAGGCCCTGACCCCGCTGACAGAGCAGGAGGGCGAGGCTTACCTGGAGAAATGTGGGAGCATCCGTCGCCACACGGTTGCCAACGCTCACTCGGACATCCAGCTGCTGGCCATGGCCTCCATGATGCACACRGGAATGGTCATTGAGGAATCAGACAGCTCTGAGAAATGCCTCCTGCTGCAGCCCAGCTGCTTCAGCCACAGGCAGTGCTCCAGCGAGCCCAGCATTGCCGACGGCCCCGAGGGAGTTGTGACAGCAGCCAGCAGGCAGGACCCTGCCGAGCTCAACTGCACCTCTGTCAGCTGAGGAGTGGACAACTGCACGCACTGAGCTGGACAAAGGGTCGTGTTATCCCTGCTGGGGACAAGAGAGGAACATAGGAATTTTGCTCACGTCATTGAAATGGCCTCGAGGGTTTTTATGGCTGAGAATGCTCTCTAGATATGTTCTTTTGCCAGTCTGGGATCATTGATGGAGGTACCAGGCTGTTCCCAAATGACCACTGAGGGCTGCAAAGCTTTTGCTGTTGAACAGCACAGTCTGCCTTCTGTAAGCTTCCTCCCTCTGCTAATATAAACCTTTCGGCATCAGGCTTCCTTCTTTTTCTTTGGAATGATACAAATTGAGTTCTTTCTGGTTTTCCTCTTCTTTCCCAGTTGTGCTTCTTCTTTGCTCTTTGTCCCTGCAGTAAAGACCTCTGTGCTTGTTCTCTCTGCTTCTGGTGCTAGCATGGTGAATGCTGAGCACTGCCTTTCTCTTTTAAAGTTGAACTCAGGGATGAAACCATTTGCATCCTGCAGAAAGATCTGCTGAGGTGGCTTGTGAAAGAGGGAGATCCTTCCCTTTGCCTCCCATCGGCATGGATGAAAAGTCCAAATCAGAATAAATCAGACTTACTTGTTTCCCAGACCCGAAGAGAACCCAGTGTACGTGGAATCTGAGCTGAGTACTTCATGTGTACTTTAAGTGGTTCCAGTCATGTCTTGRGGGTTCTGGTATAAACTGGGTGCAAACAAGGGCTGGGATTTGTAAATTGGGTGCAAAATATAATACTGAGCATCCTGGCATTTGACATCAGTTTGCTCTCAAAATTTCAGTGGTGATAGGGCTATGATGAAAGAGAAAACGACATGGATTCCTKTATGAAGGAGATGCTGCACTTTGGGAGGTGTAAAGGTGCTCCTCAGCATTGGGCCATTGTGACTCCAGACAGGAGGTGACGATCAGGATTTCATCTTTGGGCTGCCCTGGTACTTTTAGCACTTGCAGATGTTGTGAGACAGGAGATAATCAGCGGGATGTGGAAAGGAGTCCTGTCTCAGTTATTCGTGAAGTGCTCCTGACCTCCAGTGGTATCTGACTCAGTGCAGTATTGCTTTTAAGACAAAGTGAGGGCTCTTTGCAGTCTTTGGTTTCATTTTTATTTGGAAGATCAGGAGTGGGTCCAGTTTGCAGGTGCCTGTGTCAGTGCAATCTGCAGTGCCTGCTTTGTMGCATCCCTTGGTACTCCAATGCTGCTTCTACAGGAACAGATCCAAGCTGTTCCAGCTGGCCTTGGGATATTCTGCTGATGTCTTGCTAAGCAGGTTTGCAAGTGTAGTTGTAGGCTTAGAGTTGAACTGAAATGCTGCCACGTTTCAGTTCAACAGCACCACTACCACCTGAATGTACTCCTAATGGTACTGGCTGTAAATAAATGTGTCTTGACAAGGAAACAGAAGGTTAGGAGGAGCTTTCAGGGTGTTTTTTTGTGTGCTGTGATGTTAACTGCAGAATCTGCCCTGCTTCTGTTGGGCATTAAACATCTTCTGCTCCAYTGGCTTCTCTSAAAGTACAGCTCTGACCTGCCAGGRTTTGGCAWTAGTAGCACATGTGGCAAAAAGAAAGCAGAWTATTTGGCAGCAAAGCATCTGAAGTACCAGCTATGAGCATGAGCTACTCTGCCTGGACTAATGAGGCTGCTGCTTTGTCTACTGTTGTTTGCAAGTGTTGGGATACATGGAAGAGCTTCCTTTTCCCTGCTGTCACCAGRGCTAAGGCCGGGTGTTTGGATCACCAACTGTGCTTTCTGTGTTGAGAAACAGAGATCCAGTTGTGCTGGCTGCTTCCTCCTTAGAGATCCAGTCGAGGCCAGGAAGATGTGCCTTTCAGTAGCGTTCCCTTCAGATGGATTAGAGGATAAATTGCTCTCCTATTCATAAATTGGACTGACCAGGCCAACTTAGTGTCACCTGCCCCAGGGCAGCCAKGGGTTGTGTGAGCTTCAGGATGTCTGTGGTGACAGCTAAGCTCAGCAGGACATGCTGGTGTCACCTTGGCACAGTCCTCCAGCGTGGGGCAGATGAAGGTGTCCTGCTCTCAGGTGTTTCCTTTGGCCCCTTGCTGTGATTGAAAGCCTTTTAGTCACACTGAGGTGTGTGGGGAGGTGATCACCCTGCAGCATTTCAGTTCACTGTCATGAATGCTTTTCTTCTTCCTGTTTCTCCTTTCTGTTTCTCCTGTAAGCCATTTGCCTTCTGTAAATACCCAGACCATTTGGATTAGAGCAGCACCCTCTTTTATGGTGAAAATTAGAATGATTTATTTATTTCCTGATGTATTTTTGGATCATCTCTGGGGCTAATAGGAGTTAGTCCTGGTTTTAACTTGAATTTATTTTGTTTTTACACATATGTATGATTTTAATTATTTTGGTTTTGTATCTGTTACTTGGCAAAAATTTGCACCAAGCCCTCTGAATCATGCACTTCCCCCATTGTTTTGTTTTTAAGGAGAATTAAAGCTGGTGGCTTTACTTYGTAAACTGAAGTAAACAGAACTTGTTCTGTAAACCACACCAAGTGTATGGTCATGATCACAACTTTTACAGCCACATGAGATTGTTTAAGCCTCTGCAAGTGTGTTTCTGTTACAGCCTGGGTGAACCTGAAGRTGGCTGGAAGGAAATGTGCCATGGTGGCGGTGTGAGGCTGGCACAGAAATGCTCTGGGAGCAGCTCTGAGGGGCAGTGCTGAGTGGTGCTTTCCACTGAGAAAGCTTCCAGTCCCCTGGAAGCAAAGCCTCTGTCCCCATGCCAAATGCTGCATTTTGGATGCCGGGGTCAGGGGTTTGGGTTGTTCATGGTGGTGTTGTTGTTGTTCATGGTGTTGTTCATGGTGTCACACAGCTGTGACAGGACCACAGACAGGTCTTTTCTACCCTCATGGTCACCAACTTGAGAAGATCTGGAGGAGCTGTCAGAATGGGAAGAAGGAATTTCTCTCATCACTTCCTAGAGTCTGTTATCTTCTGCCTCGACAATGACCTAGACTGAGTCACTTCTCATCACACCAGAACTGTCTTCTCTTTTTACCCCATCTCCTTCTTAACGTGATTTATTCTCTGTGTCCATACAATTCTGTCATAAACCTATTGAGGGGGCCTCAGCAGAAAACCATTCTTACTATAACTGGCCTTTTTCCTGGTATTCCCCATAGCCAAGCACATGTTTTWGTTGCCAGAAAGCAGAGCTCTTCTTGCCCTAGCCATGTGGGCAGCAATGTGGTTGGGTTTTTTTTGTTTTGTTGTTTTTTTTTTTTTTTTCCATCAGAAGGCATCTCTGTAGGAAATTCACTGCAAATTTTCCTGTTAGTTAAATGTGTGAAGAGTGGGGTATTTGGTATTTCCCCAAGCAAAGAGAAGATAATTAGTCATCCTGTTAATATTTTAAATATGGAAGGTGAACCTGGAAGGACAACAATAGGTTAAATGGGATATTCTTGCTTGTCCATATATTTGGAGAGTGCTTTCTCTTCCCCTTATTATCCCAGCAGCTCCAGGTAAGTGCATCAGCTACATAAAGAAAAGCTTTAAAACAGAACTAGCAGCTTTTAAGGCAACTTAGCAGCTGAGGTACAGCTTATTCTCATCAATACAATGCTCAAAATTGCATGCTGTAAAATAGCTGCCACCTGCCACCTGAGAACTGGCTGCCCTTTATTCATCACTTGCATCTGAGGATACCTGGAGTACCCTTGTAAGTTATATCCAACCATTATTTCCACCTGGGAGAGCAAGTTCTGTATAATTGTGCCAGTTTACATCTCTCMTATGTGTAAGTTCATCCCTTCCAGGGGACTAATCCTGCCCCAAGCMCTTCTCCAGGTCTTATGAAAGCTTGTCCTAAGTGCACAAGGAGTGGCAGCTCAGATSAATGAGTAGTTTGGCTGCATTTCTCCAAACCAAATGATGAAAAGAAGTGACAGCTCCAGTGCATGAGTGAGTAAATTGAAAATTGTCATTATTTATCAGTAGTTGCTCGCTGTGCATGGCAAACACACGCTCAGGGCCACAAATGCGGGCTTGTGTGTGGGAGACTCATCTGTGTGGGAGAGAGCAGTGAAGAAGAGATACGTGCAGGTAAAGGAAATAGCTGACTAGATTGATTTTCACCCAAATAATTGGTGTAACAGAAGGTAGGGGCTTAATTATAGTTTGATCACCAGACTTTACAATGAGCACAAGGAAACCAAGCTCTTTAAACAGAAAGCCAATGGCTTGAAAAGTCTCACCTACCCTGAACTGCCACAGTACAGAGCAGATTTGCAGGAGCTATGGATTGCAACAGTGTTCAGGGAGTTGCTGTTTGAAGTGTCTCTCATTTGGCTTCAAAGCTAATTCCCACTTACGCCAAGAGCTGCTTCGTAATTCTTGTGGCATAATTATTACAGACTGTGCAGTACCAACCTCTGTTACATTGGAAAATAGATTGGAGTCAGAGAGTCATTCTTTCTGACCTTGAGATTTACGAAGGGAGCTGCATTGGCTGTCACACAGGAGTTTTCTGCGGTTGCTAAAATAATTCAGTTTTTTTCTT